CAGACATAATAATACTTCGAAGTAATTATTTTTATCCCTTCATAACTCTTACTTGGCTTCGGTGCATAGCACCTGATTTTGAGAGTTGTCCGAGAAGTTGAAAACCAGTTAACATCTACGCTGTATAATATTATGACTGTGTTGCAAGGGGTGGGAAGAAAAGCTGATCCGGTGCTGGTGACGAACAACGAGGTGAGTATAGCGGCGTCGGTGTTCGTAGGAAATCGGGGCGCAGATCGGTCTGTAGACCCAGTTTTGTCTCGCTAGAGCGTTTCCAGAAGCTGGAGTTACATTGTATCTGTAGGTCAGATGTTTGCTTCCACCGAGAGTTTTATGTTCGGATTTGATCTGGCGGGATGCAGGCAGGCATAGTGGGATGGTCTAAGACCATGATTGAGAAACAGAGGGTACCAGGTTCAAGTCCTGCTTGGAAGCGGAAGGATTTTTTCCAGCCGTGCTGCGACCCACAGTTAATTGGAACTTAACTCGTGGCCTGGCACGAGGGAAACATGGATGCAGTGAATGGGATTTCGGTCTTTGACCACTTTGTGGTGGGTCTGATCTACTCACCTCCCACCGCTTAGGAGCTGCATCTGCGCATTGATCCAAGAGGGTGGTGGCGTTCCTGCGGATGCGGAAAACTGGGCCTTTGGCCGAGTCTCACGCGAACCGTGAATTTTTTTATTTATTTTTTTTGATCAGGCGTCCTGGAGTTTGTCGAGCAGACCGATCCGTGGGCGTGGATATCGATGTTCGAGGGCAAAGATCAGTTAGGCCCGGAGACACCGTCTCTGGCAGATCATGTGACTCCGTGTCTTGTGCCTGACATCATCTACAGTTCTAACGCATACTTTCCCTCAGGCCGATAGTGCGGGTTCGATCTTGTGGCCAGGCACAAGGGGTACATGGGCGCGGCTAATGCCGTAATGGGCACTTGTGCCAGTGGTTGTTAGACGTATCCTCTCACCCCCGCCGTTAGGCTTGTGAACTAGGTTTGGTATTCCTCCCAGTCCACATTATGACAATGATCTGAGTCCTTTTTTCAAGACAATTATCTGTTCTTTTGGTCTTTTTGGTGAAGCATATAACAGCATAATGAGCTGTTTTCTCGAGCATCCACTTGAGCATATTCTGGTCATTTTCCGAGCATAATCCGCTTACCCCTCAGACCCAGTCCACATCATGATCATGACAATGGTCGAAGTCCTTTTTTCATGACGATTATCTGTTCTTTTGGTCTTTTTGGTGAAGCATATATCGGTACATGTAAAAGCATAATTGGCTGTTTTCTCGACCATCCTGCGAGCATCCGCCAGAGCATAATCTGGTCATTTCCCGAGCATAATCTACTTGTACATGTACATGTACTTCTTCCCTGCACATGTACGACTCTTTTGTCTTGGAAAAGGAAAAAAATTGTGGGAGAGCCACAGAGTGTAGATCCTCAACATGTACATTGCACATGCACATGTACGTGGAGTGTGTATACCTAGTCTGGTTAGTAGTTGGCCTTTGGCGGATACATACTAGTATTAGTGCGGCGATACGTACAGGTAGGAGAAAAGAACATGTGCATCCAAGAGGGAAGCACCTTGGCAAATGATAATGGGGAGAATTTGAGATTGAGATAGGACATAACAATAGTGAAAGCAGTGCACCGTGGAAGTAGGAAGATAGAGAGAACTGATAATCGCATAAGGTTCGATAGATCGCAGGATCGCATAAGGCACGATGACTTTAACCCTAGGACGGCCACCACTTTCAGTACTCCTAGAACGGCCAAACGGTGTCATTTGACACCTGCATACATTTCCATGTCTAAGACCTATGATATAGGTTATTATAGTTTTTGTTTTCAGTGCTGGCTATCACTATCGGCATTTATGATGTACACAACAATTTAGGATTCACCCAGACACTATTGTTGGCTATATGCAACTAAAATACAATGTACGCGTAGCGGCAATTGCGAAGGATGAACTCAATTACTGGCAAAACTTCAATTACTTGCATAGGAATTTCTTATAATCACAGAGTTACAATAACAAGCAATGTGTCAACGTCACTGGGCACATGAGGAACTGTTTTTCGGGAATATGTGCTTTGGCATAATCGGATTACTCGACCGTCACGATGAATGACACACAGTAACAAGTACAAACATGGACTGACTATGAGCATCATTTTTTCACCAAGAGTCTAAAATGCAATTTAGAGATGGTTAAGGCTAGTAACGATTGCATTTTAGACTCTTTCAAAGAGGTATACCCTTCTCTTCTCCTTGGCTGGCACTTAGCAACCAGATGCCATAACTATCTACAAGCTTATTGACCAGTGCAGGAATGAGCGTTTTCTGGATGTGCATGAACTAGGAAAGGTCTGGGATATTGTGAAGGCGTTGATTCTTGTCACATCTATTCATTTATGTAACCGCCTTGCAAGGGTACATCTTCTGGAATAGTGTTTGTTGAGTAGATCCACCACATTCCATCGAAACGGTCCAGGACATATCTCGTCTTTTACTAGAATTGGACGATGTGGGGCTTCCTACTCTCACCATGTAAAACATATGGCTCTAGGTGGTCTACACTAGGCGGACCATTGATAATGCTTGCTACTTCTACCTTCTATGTCTACCATCTTTGCATCCTACAATGTAATCTTGAAAAACAAAATGCAATCCGCGATTATTGGCAATGAAGTTAGATGGTAGTTTACCTCAATTTCCCAAAGTGGTTCATACTGCAACTCTTTATTCTCCAACAGTTTCTTGACCAGTAATGCACTGATGATGAAGTTATCAATTATGACTTAGCAATCACCTTCTGCAGCATCCGGGGCAAATAAAGAGAGACGAGGCATCCCAGCGGCTGCCTACCCGTTTAGCCTGAAGCGGAGGAGGAAGAGGTTTGGTTCAAGAGCCTTATTAGCTCGTCAAGTAGTTAGAAAGGATTATCTACACAGCACCATCCTTGCGATAATGCGGTGTACCATCTCCAGGTTGCAGAGTTGCGATTCATCTTCCTCAACACTATCCATTTCGGGGTCTCCACCACTCCTGCAACTGTTTCTGACAAATCCTTGTCTGGACTATCCCGGCGCAATCCTCGTCCGCTCTCTGGAGGCTCGTAAACCTCAACACATTCTGAATCCACAGGTGGTACTCAGGTGTTGTAACCGTACGATTCGCCCTCATATGACAGAACAGATCCACCACTGCCAATGGTCACTACACTTGAACACCCATCAAATGAAGATAAAATGGGCAATTTCGCTTTCAAGGTCATCAGATTCATGCATGGTAAAAGGCTACATCCGTTCTAGTATTTCCTTGTCCGTCAGACCACGATGGCTCCTCTGGGGCAATTTAAAGGAAAAGGAAAGGGAATGAGCAGTATCAAGGACATTAGCTGAAGAGTGTTTGTGTTATCTGTGCACTAATGTTTACCCGCGCCAAATTCGCGATTCTCGCCCGACGGTTGTATGGTGATCATATATTTCGTCCTGTATTCAGCGATTTTCCTGCCCATGCACCTTTCTTTTGTCTGGTTGGCATACGAGCAACTCGATATGGCCGACACCTTCGAAATGTGTTCATATTGTTTCCATATAGCTGCAATAATGGCTTTTTATAGTGCAGGTGTCAAATGACACTGGTTGGCCGTTCTAGGTATACGTACTCGCCATTATGGTACCTCATCAATTACAAATCAAAGGTTTATGGCAGACGAAAGAGGAAGAAAAATTAGGAATAGTCACAAGATTTGAGCTTATTCTGATTAGCCATATTTCGGTAATTCCAAAGGTTTGACTCGCGCGGTGTCAAATGACACCGTTGGCTGTTCTAGGGTTAGAGCTGAGCGAAGGGGATCAGAGAGGGGTAGAAGGGAGCTGGAGTACGGTCAGTATATTATTAGGCTGGTGTGTTGGCTGGGAGTGGGACTGCTGTCGTACACCACAGACTAGCATACTAGCCCATGGTCTAACTCTTTCTTCTTTAAATTAACTCGGATGGTGAGCCAATTAAATTATGGTGAAAAAGGAGGAGGAGAAAGGACTGAGCCTTCCAAGTTGGAATGTTGTTGGTTTGCGCCTTTGGAGAAGTGTTGGAGCCAGGTGTCAGGTCTCGGAATATCTCAGTACTCCTGGTCAGTTTTGTGCTATTTTGTCGCACTCGCTGACTGTATAAGATCTGGTTATGTTGGTGGACAGTCATAACTCGTAACATTTTGTCCTTCTCCTCTTTCTTTCTTTTTTAATTTACCCCTCCCCCCCCCCCCCCTTGGTGCGCGTTGTGTGCAAGGATACGACCTTTGGTCGGAGGAGTCCACAACTCCCCACCTACACACCTACACAGCTGCGCTAGTGGATACTAGTAGTCATCCCTGACTCAAAAGTCGTTTGTTCTGTCAACTCCCAACTTCTGTGTTCTAGTCGTTTCTTCGTTCTCCCTGCATGCAACTACATTGTACATGTACGTACTTGCTTTGTGGTCTTTATTGTTAATATTTTTTTGTCTTGAGCCTGGTTTGTGTTCTTTGTAAAAAATAATAGTAAAAAAAACTAGAAGAAGAGGTTAGGTTGCTGCGACTTCGTGTCTTCGGCGATAGTAGAGGAAGAGTGTGTTGCTCTCTAGACTCTACAAGTACAAGGCTATATCATGGGAGCTCGCGGTTTTCCTGCCGACTTGACTGACTCACGACTGCCAAGCGCCAATGCCATCCATGATCCAGAGCAGTGAGAGCACACGAGAAGAAAAAAAACTAGGCCTACAACACTGCTGTATCAGTAATACAACGTATTGTCATGACTCATGGTGTACTCTAGGCAGTACAATGGTACATACACTGATACAGTCATGCCGTCTATCGTAGATCTACTGTTGTCACTGTTGACTGTTCATGTTGTGCCCTACACTATCTCTAGTATCTGTACAAAAAAATAAGAATGATTCGTGCATGCAGCTTGTGATGTCTGACATCATTGTAGATAATTTTGTAGCTTGTGTCGTGCCGAAGTCGTTACTTGGGCGATCCTTGCGCTGTCCTATCCGAAGTAGAATCGGTCGTAACGTGTTTTCGCTGAGATAACTCTTGGGGAAAGCAAAGACGATCCTCAGTGTGCCCCTCCCGTTGCGAATGGCGAGAACGCCCGTAAGAAGGCCATAGTGCAGGCTGCTGTTGGGTGCGCTGACCGTGCAGTGTTGGCTCACGTCGATGTGCGCAACCAGGAGCAGAAACACGGACTGGGCCGGCGAGAGTCGGTTGGGCACGGCGCATTGTTACTGTAAGTGGGCTAGTAAGTTTTGGAATTAGAGACTCGTGCCAGTGTGTTGTGCAACGGTTGGATCTTAGTTTTGGCGAACGGCAAGCGGAATGATGGATATGATAATGTTCCGCAACATCTGTGCGTACATGTGACCCAAAATAGCACGACGAAAAGCAGAATTTTAGGCAGTTGTTTGTTTTGCTTCGGATGACGTACAGAATGCCATTGCTTTAGTTTGTTTGCTGTTTTGCCACCATCGCACGCTGGCATTATTGTGTAAACAAGCCGCTAAAGGAAACCGCCAGGCCGTTCGATGCCAAAGGGTGCGCTGGAAGCAGATGTGCACCTCTGGCGGCCTAGCTCGAGTCGGCGGAGGACTAATTCATGTCTATTCTGGGGAAAATATAAAGAAAGTTTCTCATGGCATTCTATACTGCCGCCGGCACATGACATTCTGAACGGCTGATGCTCAGTCGCAAGTCCCTACCTGAGGCGAATTCTGTGTTAGGATATTCAAGGAATCGATTTGAGTAGATTGATAGTAGTACTGTAATAATTATAGTAATCTGTGCGTTGCAAACGGAGAATGGACTCGAAAATTTCCGGTCCATTCAACAAAGGCATTCCAGCTGCGCGCACTGTCTGTATAGGTAGATCTACTACAATATGCACGCAATATTATTTCTCTGATCGATTATGATAATCACAGAGACCATGTCAGTAGTACAGTGTGTAAGTGGATATAGATGTGGCCTGGGGTACTTCCTGCAAGTGAAATGAAGTGCTAGTACACGGCGGACATGCCTGTAAACAAATATCCATGGCCAATTCCCTCCTTCCTGGGCAGAATTGTCCCGTTCCATTCATCGTACCCCTCAGATCGCCGCAGTCATTGCGCCCGCAACCGAACTGGCAACAGGAATTTTGTTTGCAAATATGCTGATTGTGCGAGATAGGAAATGAGCCTCGTGCGTGCACATGAACAGCTAAATCATGTGTTGGCCACTGGGCGGTTGTGACGTCCCTACTTGCTTAGAAACATCACGGTGACTGCTGTGGGTGGGCACGGAGTTGTCCATGTTGAACTGTGGAGAGTTGGCCGTTGCGAAATTATTTAGAACTATGATGATGTCCGTACGATGCCTTACTGTAAACAACCGATTTCTGGGTTGATGATGTAAGGAAGCATGAGTACCCTGAGACCAGGGGTGGAGTAACGGCAGCCCAAATCGTAAACGGTGTGAGATATGACCTCCCAGGTTGGACGATGGATTGGGTCATTCTCAGCCTCTCTGGTCTAAGTGCGTCTGTTTGAGCTGATTTTTTTAGTTGCTAAGGCAATCTGTCTGTGCAGAGTTGTTGAGGGCGAAGTATCGTGGGATACGCGTTGTAGCCTGGGCAGTTCTTAGTTTTCATGTACTGCGGTCTTTGTGCAGTCACCCCGTATATAATGGTACAGTGTGCTTGGTGGAATTCTAGTCTGTTTGTCCTTTGCCGCTCTACTGTGCGGTAATGCAAAAGCATTGTCCACAACATTTTGGAAACAAGAGGTGCACTTTGGATGTATTGTGGACCAGACATTGCAGAAAGCTTTGCGCTATTCTTTTTCCTCACTTTCCTCCAATGGCCTGGGCTAAGAAGGTAGTGTTGCGAGCCTTTGCTCCTGGAAATCATAATTATCCGTGTGTCCTCGCAGAGTTTGGGGGTGGGGGTACTATATTTTGCCTTCGACCATCCAGCATCAAATCCTTCCTTTGTCCTTTGTCTCTTACCGTATTTCCAGAGACACGAGTGTACAGACTCGGTTTATGGGCCAAAATCCCTCTCCCTCTTCTCATTGTCATGGCTGTGATCTTGGTCAACTTCTCACACCATCTGTACTCTCTCCCTGTACAGCACCACCCCCTCTTTCTCTCTCACAATCACTCTCTTTCACACAATTTCTCACACGCACTCTCTCTCACACACTCACCCGTTCACTCTCTCTCTCTCTCTCTCTCTCTCTCTCTCTCTCTCTCTCTCTCTCTCTCTCTCTCTCTCACTCACTCTCTCTCTCTCTTTCTTTCTCTCTCTCTCTCTCTCTCTCTCTCTCTCTCTCTCTCTCTTTCTCTCTCTCTCACTCACTCACTCACTATCTCTTACTCTCTCTCTCTCTCTCTCTCTCTCTCTCTCTCTCTCTCTCTCTCTCTCTCTCTCTCTCTCTCTCTCTCTCTCTCTCTCTCTCTCTCTCTCTCTCTCTCTCTCTCTCTCTCTCTCTCTCTCTCTCTCTCTCTCTCTCTCTCTCTCTCTCTCTCTTTGCTTGTCGTGTACAGGAGGGCGCTTGTCTTGCAGCGGAGTGCCACTTCATAGCCACCACCAACCCCTCTCTCATCGACGTCATGGCTATGCAACCGTTAAACCCGGACGAGTATCCGTATAATACTCTGGCCAACTTTGTCGTTGAGAAGAAGATTGGCCGCGGGCAGTTCAGCACAGTGTATGGTGGCCTATGCAAGGTGGACAATCGCAAAGTAGCTCTTAAGAAGGTCCAGGTACGGTCCGAGAATATAGGCACTGCACCTGGACGCTAAAGGCACCGTTGCCTGGACATTGAGTTGGGGGCTTGTGGGGGCACGATGTGTGCTTTAAAGCTGATGGTTACGGTTCAAACCCCATTCGGTCAGGTTTCTCGTACTGTCGGCTCATGTAAGACAGAATTTCCCAATGTTTGGCCTGGGTGAAACAGGATTTTCACACTGTTGGTCCATGTAGAACAGGATATTTACACTGCTGGTCTATGAAAAGCAGGACATCCGAAAGACTTTTGAACTCCACTGCAGCTTTAACTCAAAGGTATGTTGGCTGTGCAGGTCAGTCTCCCATTTCTCGCACCGGTGTTTTGATTTTGTGTTTGTTTTATAGATCTATGAGATGGCTGACGCCAAGGCAAGGAACGATTGCATCAAAGAAATAGACCTGCTTAAGGTGAGCATTGCCATTGCTTTTCTGTTTCCTGTATGTAACCAGCCTCGACGGGTTTTGATTCTGAATGCTGGGGTAATTGGGGAGCCGCTCGGCACCATTAAGGCAAAATTAAGCAAAGCGCAATCTACTGAGTAGTCTGATCAAACTCAGCGGAGTAGTAGCAAGGAAAGGCTGACGGTTTATCGCTGCTATTGCTGCCGTTGCACTACCTGTTACTTGTGACGAGCACACACTTGTCTTGAACTCTGTGAAGGAGCACATAGGAACTCACCTAGTGGGTTCCCTGATAAGTGCAAACACTGGGTGGTGGGCGTGCGGAGGGTGGAGATTTTTGGCTAGGTTTCACCAAATTCCGACAGGTATACCATGGCAAATTGTATGGAAAACCATGTCCAAACCCAGGGATTGGACGTGGAGTTCCGAGCCTCAATTTGGCCCGAATTGGGCTTTCAAAATCCATCGGTGGTATTTGGGATGAATGGACTGTAGGAGCGTCAGGCGCCGGTGAAGGCCATTGCACGAGCGTACGAATTGGATTACGATGTGGCGTAATCCAACATGAATACTGCGCTCTGTTGTGGTATTTATCTTGTGAAGGCAGCTGAGCATACATGGTATGACACTGGGTTCTGTTGTGGCGTATGTTGTTCCATTTAGAAACTTTGCCACCCAAACGTAATCCAGTACCATGCAAGCTTTGTGGAAAGCAATGAGGTAAGCTGTACACTATTATGAATGTTGTTTCCATGCAGTGAAAGGGATGAGTGTGGTTGAGTCTCATCTACTCACTTCCCATTACTGTGTGAGCTGTATCCGAGGCCGTGATCATTGAGTTGGCGTTCTTACGGTTGTGGAAAACTCAGTCTGACTTGATCTCACGCACAACCCTGAAGTTTTTTTTTCATACGCAAATTTGGCTGTCATGCATTCAAGTGTCCAGAAATCCAGGCTTGTATCCGTGCGTGATCAGGCAGACTCTGTGCAAGCAGAGAGAGAGAGAGAGAGAGACTGGTTGTGTGAATAAGGTGTGTGTGTGTGTGTGTGTGTGTGTGTGTGTGTGTGTGTGTGTGTGTGTGTGTGTGTGTGTGATAAAACATGCCACCACATCTGTTCAGTGTGTGATGACACTTGGCAGTCGATATCTAGCTTTGCGTGGCACATCTACTGTCCTGGCCAAAGAAACCCGACCTCATAAAACAAATATTCGCGGTTCGCGTGAGACTCGGCTGGAAACCGAATTTTCCGCATCCGCTGGGACGCCACCACCGTCAACGATCAAGGCGCAGATGCAGCTGCTAACGCGGTGGGAGACCTCATAAATCTACAGTGAACTTTGCGTATAACGACAGTCGGCTGGGCATCAGAAAAGTGTCGTTATATCCGCAGTCGTCATTAGCGAAGTTGACTGTACTAGTAATAGCGCCTTGGGTAGCGAGGTCAGGCGAAAATTAAATTTTGGAAAACCCTATCGAATTGGGTATCTACGGAAAGCTTAGAGCTTCAGGCGTTCAAATCTAAAATTTGGGCTGGGTTGGAGCAACTGGAAGAGAGTTATGGGTGTTGAAAGGAGCCCGACTACGTGATTTTTTTGTCGCGACGAATGTACGCGTGGGAGCTCGAAAAATGGCACCCGGCACTCGGGTCCCAAGTCGCGACGGAGAGTGCATGATGTAATCTCGCGTGTCACGTGCGTGTACTTCGCTATGCTAGCGGCTAGCGGCACCGCTGCGCGTGCAGCACTCGAGCCGAAAACTATTGCTTTCTGAAGAGAAAATGTTTGTTCCTCTGCAGAGAAGGGAAATGTGCAATTGTCTTCAAGGATCGCCAGTGCATGTACTATTTGCTGTGAACCGGTGATGGTAAGATATTTGGGATCCAATGACGAGTTGGTGGCAACGGGAGCGGTGGCTGCTGTTGATGGATGATGTCGGAAGAAGCGCTTTCTCAAGACAAGTTTCTGCAGACGATCAGGAATTTGAAAACATAATTGTGCTCGAACGTATTGTTTGTTCTGGAGTAGTACAGTAGAGAGACTTTGTTAGAGACATGGTCTGTGTGAAAGTGAACGTTCCTCACTTTCTCTCTCACACAGGTTATGTTTGGCTGACAACTATTTGTAGTGTTGCCTTGATTGAGTAACACTGACAGCATTGGAAATTTGGAAATAGTTTCCATTTCTGAAATGATGCATACAATTGGACAAAACTTTGCAAGAAAGACATAGCTTTCCGAAACAGTACCTGGGACAGGGACTGAAGTAGCCATCTCCTTGCCTTCATCACCAACAAGCTTCTGAATAGATACAAAATGCTGCACACCAGACGCAAGCGAAGTTTAATCGGATTGATGGCGATTCGCTTGCTTCTGTTGCTTTTTAGATTGGTGCACATGCCTTCCCAAAGCAATCCTCCTTGCTGGACAGTGACACCAGTCGAGAGCCATAACGTCGGTGCGCCTCTTGTTACGCCAATGAAACTTGGTAGTCCGAAGGATTAGGGGGCGCTGAACACGATGCAGCAACAACCTAAGGCGTAACAAGAGGCGCAAGGACCGAAACCCGCCCTCGAATATTGGCAAAAAGCGAGAGACAGCGCGTCGACAGAGAAACGTCTGGACGCTGCGCGAACGGGTGGAGGCATTGCTCCATATCCTTACCAAAGGACTAGAAACTTGAAATCGCCCAAAAAGAGCAAGGAGACTGCACAAGCGAAGTTCAAACGCAGGTCAGTTTTGATGGCTCCCGTAAAAATCGAAAAATCGAGTAAAAACCTATGTGCCATTACATCATCGATTTTCAATGGGCCGGGGATGGGCCAAGCGCGACAAGCGAAGTCCGTGAACTGGTCACGCGTCTGACCTCGCTACCTTGGGAGGGGGGGGGGGGTCTATGCTGCCCTAGCATCACACTCACCACTCTGTGCACTTGAGTGCGGTGTCACTTTAGTCGTGAGGTTGGATTTTCTCTGGACAGGTCTGTACACGCAGTACACAACACATCTAGACACACTGCACAATGCCCCTAATCACTGTGTCTTCGTGCATCTGCGCCTTCATGGCGTTGCTGGTGGCTTTCCTATCAAGGCCGGAATGTCTTCTACAAGCCGTGAAATGCTCTTTTCATGACGGCTGTGTCGTGCAATGCCACTGCTGCACCAGCTGACTAGGACGCTGAACGGAATGTTCTAATGCAGACGTCTCAGCAGGCGGAATGCCGTGGTTATGTGGCCGCTGACATGGGCATTGGCCAACTGAGGCTATCCATCTGTCTCTCTATCTGTCTCTCTCTATCTCTCTCTCTCTGTCTATCTCTCTCTCTCTCTCTCTCTCTCTCTCTGTTCCTCTCTCTCTGTCTCTCTCTCTCTCGGTCTCTCTCTCTCTCTCGCTGTCTCTCTTTCTCTCTCTCTCTCTCTCTCTCTCTCTCTCTCTCTCTCTCTCTCTCTCTCTCTCTCTCTCTCTCTCTCTCTCTCTCTCTCTCTCTCTCTCTCTCCTGCTCCTCTTTATGTCCTTATAGCTCATCATTGTGTTGGAGTTGTGCGATGCTGGAGACCTCTCGAAATTAATCAAGGTAAGAACAGCCTTCAAAGAAGACTTTCCCTTTAGGACTCCCAACATTCATCCTCTCCATCCATGATCTTTGATTTCAACAACGATCGGGTTTCACCCTTCACTAGGCTGGTAGAACATCAGGAGCGTAGCTGGTCCCCCTTCTAGGGGGGGGGGGGCACACATTCATAGTCAATAATGTGCATGCTGAACCTAGGTCGAGATGTTTAGGGGGGGGGGGGGGGGGGGGTGCACATGACAAGTAGTTCTTGTAGGCTTTTTGCGCAAGTAACTAGTCACTTCTGTTTCTAGTTTACCCACATTCTTTCCTGCGCTCGGCATGGTACCAGTGTCCATCGTTACTCGGCAAACCATGAAGAGGCGAGTCCGGAGGTGTGAGCTGCTTCCGATAAGAACAGGCATTGAAGCAGACCCATCACCAGTCTATCACCTTCTTTCTGCATTAGTCTCTTTAACGACCATAATTGTGATAAACCTGTGTTTGTGTGCCTTGCATGTCCTTTCAGCACTTCAAGAAGAAGAAAAGGCTGATTCCGGAGCGCACCATATGGTAAGTGTTCTGTGCTCTCAACGTATTGTCTACGTGTGCAGAGCACACCACACAACGTATTGTCTACGTGTGCAGAGCACACCACACAACGTACTGTCTACGTGTGCAGAGCATACCACACAACTAACTTATCACGGTCTCGTTGTGAGGCAAAGAACCCTTTTCATTGCCTTGAGAGCTGCATCGGCGGCGGCAAAGTGAGATGTAGAAATCAACTGAGGTTGCAGTTGCGAGCGGCAAACGGGGACACGTGAACAATGTTGTCAACCCATTAGTAGCTGCACAGGACTGTAGCCTGATTCCAGAGGAGTGTTGAGATAGGTGAGCAACGCGCTATACCAATCTGGAGAGGCAGTAAAGAGCTGTTTGCTGGTTTTAAGGGATCTTTCGGCGAGACCATTAGCCTGCGGATATAGCGGAGAACGTGTTACCTGCTGAAATGAGAACTCCTCAGCAAATCGACGGAACTCCTCAGACGCAAACTGTGGACCGTTGTCTGAAATAATTGTCTCGGGAATGCCGTTACAGGCAAAGATACTTTGCCGGTGCGTAATGACAGCCTTGGATGATGTTGGCGTCAGCTGGACTACTTCGATGTAGTGAGAGTAGTAGTCTATCAGCAGGAGAAATTCATGCGAACCAAAGTGAAACAGGTCAGCAGCTAGACTTTGCCATTTTACATCAGGGAGTGTTGTTGGGATGAGCGGTTCAGCTGGTTGAGTGTGCATGTGTGCGCACGTCGAGCAACTTGCGACATACAGCTGAATATCCGAATTGATGGAGGGCCACCAGACAGGAATGCGGGCCAGACAGCGACACTTGGCCATGCCCCGGTGACCAGTGCTGTACTGTATACGTGTGGAGAGCACACCAAACGACTAACTTATCACGGTGTCGTTGTGGGGCAAAGAACCCTTTTCATATTCAGTGCAAGAATACGAACAGTATGGGAAGAAACCTGATACAACAGAACAGTTTCTCCTCAGCTTCTTCTTCTTCTTCTTCTTCTTCTTTATAAGCTGTCGACGGAGACTCCCTCGATTTAGGCTAAGGCCTGTGCAGAATCCATCATAACAATTACCAAATACAGTAGCGGGTGCTCCTTATCGGGATCCAGTAGAGAAGTTGAAGCTAAAGTTACTGTAAGTCAACGAATATTCGGCGCATATTATTTTCGGCTATTTTCGCCCTGATCATATATTTGGCCGAATTTTTGTTGCAGCTGAAATTTTGTTTTGCAAGGTTCAGTGTGACAGTCTATAAAGGCAGCAGCAGCACAGGCCGAAAATTTGTTGCAGCCGACATGTGTTTTAGCCCTGGGAGGCCGAAATTTGAATGGGCCGAAAATTTGTCAGCTTCCAGTACACTACCGTGCATGACACATCTCGATATGGGATGAATCACTAGAGGGATACCGTATTGGATAGGCTAGAGCTGTAAAGAGAGGAGTACATATAAGAGAACAGGCATTCACAATGGGTATACACACACACACACACACACACACACACACACACACACACACACACACACACACACACACACACACACAAGATAACACTATTGTAAGGACAGACTTTGCAGTATCTATAATTTTCAGACTTTGCAGTATTTGCAGCATGTATAATTTTCAGACTTTGCAGGATCTATAATTTTGAGGATCGGAAATATTAGCCGGGGGCGGGGGCGGTATATCATAATCAACCAAGGGGGGGGGGGTGTATCATATCAGCCAGTGGTGGTGGGGGGGGGGGGGGGGTATCATGTCAACCAGGGAGGGGGGGGGAGAGGATGTATCATATCAACCGGGGGTGGGAGCGGATGTATCATATCAGCCAGGGAGGGAGGGGGGGGGGGGGGTGTATCGTATCAACCAGGGGAGGGGGAGATGTATCATATTAGCCAGCAAGGGGGGGGGGGGGGTGTATCATATCAACCAGGGGAGAGGGGGGGGGATGTATCATATCAACCAAAATAGAGTGTCATATCAACGAAGAGGGGGGGGGGGAGGGGGAGCGAGTGCTGTTGCAATGGTCATGGATATGACTGGAGATTTGTATTGGATTTACTGGTACATGGCAACAGTCTCTCTTCTCCTCCATTCGCGTGCATGCCTGTGGTGACCGTGACTTTGTGTATGTGTGTGCCTCGGTCTGCCTGCGCACGTGTGTGTGTGTGTGCCCCTGCCTCTTTTTTGCGTATGTGTGTGCCTCTGCCTGCCTGGGTGTGCCTCTGCCTGCCTGGGTGTGCCTCTGCCTGCCTGGGTGTGCCTCTGCCTGCCTGGGTGTGCCTCTGCCTGACTGTGTGTGTCTCTCCTGTGTATGGGAGCATGTGCATGTGCGCGTGTATATGTGCTCTGCACGTATACGCCACACTGTGTGTACGTATGCCCTGCAGGAAGTTCTTCATGCAGATCAGCTGTGCATTGGAGCATATGCACTCCAGAAGAATCATGCATAGAGGTAGGCGTTAGTGTCTTTGAATAGTATGCGTATGATCAAGTGTTTGTTCACCTATATTTTTCCCTTTTTCGTTTTTGGTTTTGCTTTCTTTCTCTTTTTCTCCCCTTCTCTTCTGGTATCATGTCTAACATTGGGTGTGGCCCAAGCGAAGGCTAGGCTAACGCCGATGCCAACGCGAAAGGGCTGATGATGATGATGATGATGATGAGGTAGGTATGAATCTTTTTAATTGTTTTACTTCAACAACACTGCTTCACCGGGAAAGGGAAAACGGGAGAACATGAAAAGGACAATATGGCTTGAAAGTGTGGTGATACATCCACCGGTAGTGATTGGACTAGGCCCTCCCGGTCGTGGACCCACACTTACCGGTGGATGTGTCACTATGCTGCGAAGGAAAACCACCCAAACGTGTATGGACCCATACAAAAACTGGACCCAAGTGGATCCAAAGGTCGTTATTATTTTGTCGTTAGATTTTGCCTTCTGACGTCATCACTTTCAAGCCCTATAGAGAACAATGGAAAGCTGGGTGCTACAGGGTAGCCGTGTTGGTGAGTCTGGAGCATGCATGCATGCATGTGTACTGTATTTCTGATGGTTGGATCACTCTGACTTCGATGCTTTCGCTTGGCATAGCCAGTCCGTGAGAGATGCGTGTATGAGACGTGCAGGGCCGAATCAGCTAGCTCCCCTGAGTTTGAACATGTAGAGGTCTGGGCGGATACACTCGACCTCGTGGATAAAGATGCGCTTTTCTGGAGTGCACCAAACTCTGTGTGTGTGTACAGGGGCGTACCTCGCACATCTGTGGTGTGGTGACCCTGTACAATCTCATGGTCGCCATTTTGCCTATTTTGACTATGTAGTACGTGTATATATAGCGGCCATTTTGTTGTCGTGGTAACCGGACTACACCGACTATGCACGAGCTACACGCATGTGTGTGTGTAGTGCTAGGGATGCGTATCGCCCGGCAGCGCTATTTCATTGATGACGTTGGGTTTCTCTGGCAAGGGCTGTGTGTATGTTTGTATGCACCAGCGCTGCTGCGTCTCGGTGCAGCTCCTGCTCAGCAGCTGTCTTGCTTGTCCGTGTCTCAGTGCCATCGTCTTTCATTTATATTTTCCAGCTGGGTCCTGTATGTAAAGAACTCTTCCTCTCCTCTCCTCTATGCGCTCTCACAGCCGACTCACTGCTACCCTCAGTAGCCATTACACACACCAACCAAGGAAGGGTTGCAGCTAGATACTGAAATTCCTCCTGACAGCTGTTTCGCCTTCATAAGGCTCATCAGAGAAGGTGATATTGAATAGGATGATATCAGGTGGAGATGGTCAGATTTATAATACAAAACATGGGCGCAGGATTACGGGCAAAGTGTGAGAATGAGAAGTTACAATTCTCCAGAGGAAGAGTTCTTTACATTTTATTGGCCGAATAGTACCGTTCACCATTTGAAATAATTGGGTCCTGTATGTGAACAGAGTAAAATGTTCCTTGTGTGTACAGACATCATGCATGGGTTTTTTGTGGTGCATTCTGCCTCTAGTGATAATGATTGTAATCCTTCTTTTCTATGTGTGTACGTATTGCTGACAGATATCAAGCCTGCGAACGTGTTCGTGCGTGAGGATGGTGTGGTGAAGCTAGGGGATCTTGGTCTAGGTCGCTTCTTTGGCTCCCAAACAGAGGAAGCATTCTCTCTGGGTAAGCTTCAACTGTCATAGGAATTGTTTTGTTTGTTTGTTTTTGTTTGGGGTGGGGGGGGGGGGGGGGGGTGGACCGAAGTTTATGACAACTTTCAATTCGTCCAACCCCTACCTGTTTGCGTATGTGCTCTACACGTCTTCAATGGCACTTGATTTGTATGGGTGCATAGGCAGGCAGCTTTGGCTGGACGGCAACTGCACGGTGGGGCATAAGAGTGAGAATGTACTCCCTTTCCCTGTGTCTCCTGTGTCAAGCGTTGGAGCTTGCGCATTCTGCACCAGGATTATTGTGTGCTCACCATGGCAGTCATCTACAATTACCTACAAAGTCGGAACATCTCAGTTCACTGGTGTGTGTGTGTGTGTGTGTGTGTGTGTGTGTGTGTGTGTGTGTGTGTGTGTGTGTGTGTGTGTGTGTGTGTGTGTGTGTGTGTGTGTATACAAGCGTGCATGTGTGTGCATGCATGCTTGTGCTTGCGTGCATGCATGTGTGTACATGTATTCATTAGTCACATGACTTGATCCGAATAATTGATCATTGTACTTCTGTTCGTGTCCGTATGTTCTCCAGTCGGCACACCATACTACATGGCGCCGGAGAGGATCCAGGAGAATGGACCAGGCTATAGTTTCAAGAGTGATATCTGGTCGTTGGGATGCTTACTGTATGAGGTGAGTGGGGCAGCAACACTTTCCAGTGAGATCTGCATTCAGCTGCAAAGCCTTGAAAGCCTTTCAGATTTTTACCCCATACCTTGCAGAATACAATTTCAAATTTGAACTTCATGGAGACTTTCAAAGTGTTAGGAAATTAGAGGCCACATGCCACGTACTGCTCTTTTCTCTCCGAAACTCAACACTTGCAAGCCAGATATGAAAGAAAGAAACAATCATCAGTCACACCACCAGGACTCAGCCAGGGACCTTGCTTTTCTTTCTTTCATATATGGCTTGCAAGTGTTGAGTTTCGGAGAGAAAAGAGCAGAACCTTGCAGAATAGAATAGATTTCTAAATGTATACCTGATGTCTGTGTTGTCAATAAGGATTTCGGGGTTGGATAGTTGCATGCGTGTGTTTGTGCGTGTGTGTCGGTGTGTGTGTGTGTGCGTGCATGCGCATGGGTGTGTGAGTATGTGCGTGCGAGCGAGCGAGTGTGTCCGGGTCCGTTTTATTGTTCGGTTGTATTAATTATTTGTTGTAGTGTTCTGAATGGTAATATGCTAACTAAGGGCGCGTTTGATTGGTACGAACTAGAACAAGATTCACCAGAACAGCGCGTTTGGTTGGAACTGCACCTGTTCTGGGCCGGCCAGAACATGTTCTGCTTGCTCCGGCCTCGAGGCCGGAGCAGACCGATCAGTTTCACTTTTTCACAGTGAAACCTGGCAGGAACCTCGATTTTGGTCCCAAATGATCACATGCATACGCTTTTGGGTTGGACTCGTTGTACCGTACAAAGTGACCATGGTGACCCATACACATTTTGAAGAATGCACCAAGTTTGGCACATTTTTCCACAAAAATGTGCTCTGTTTCTGGAGTACCGTTTGGTTGGCATGAGGCTGCTCCATGTGCACCAGCTGTTCGATCCTGTTCTAGGGGTCTGGTACGTGTGCTTGCCATGCGCTATGCTCATTTGAAACCCAAATTTAATGCGTATCGCCCCGCTATTTTGTGTGCATGTGTGTGTGTGTGTGTATGTGTGTATGTGTGTGTGTGTGTGTGGTGTGTGTGTGTGTGTATGTGTGTGCGTCTGTGTGTCCCATATGGTGCAGCGGTATGTGCAGCGATTTCCAATCGATAGGTTTGCGGGTTCGATTCGCGACGATTATGGTCGCACACATCATTCTTCTCTTTGTCAGACTACTCCTGACTTTTCTTTCATTCTCCTGGGTGGTTACCAACAGCCGGTGCATGTGGTGTGATGTGTGTGCGTGAAAAAATGAAAAAGTCTCCAAAAGACCAAAAAGTAGGGATTCACTGGCCAGAAAAAGCCACTTCATAGCTGTGTGGTGTAGACCAGGCTGAATAGTGGTGGTCAATTCTTCAGCCTTGCGAGCTGTTGAATGGTGCAATCCCAGCACAAGCTGCTATGGCTTCTGCTGTAGCATCGCTATCATCGCCTCCGGCGATGGGCGTCCAATGGTCCAATGGTATGTGTGGTGTAATCCCAGCACAAGTTGCTATGTCTAACATAGCTGTTCGCTATCATCGCTTCCGCGATGGGCAGGTCTGAGGTCTGAGGTATGTGTGTATGTGTGTATGTGTGTCAATTTGTGTGTGTGTCTTGGGTACAGCTGGCAGCTCTCCAGTCACCTTTCTACGGTGATGGTCTGAACCTGTACTCGCTATGTATCAAGATTCGCAAGTGTGACTATCCGCCGCTTCCAGCAGATTGCTACACTATCCAGGTAATGATGAGTGTGCTGAGTGTGACTGTGCAGATTTTTGTATCTTTCTGCCCCTATTCGTGTGACCCTCCTTCGGAATCTCCGTACGCTGCTTGTCATGTGATGGTACCCATCAATGATGCTGAGACTTAACGTCGGCAGTGTGTAATTATATATATATATATGTTGAGCCTACTCCCGATCATTGTCTGGCTGCATCTCTGCGTGCCTGTTTATCTTTGGCTCTCTCTCGCTCACTCTCTCTCTCTCTCTCTCTCTCTCTCTCTCTCTCTCTCTCTCTCTCTCCCTCTCTCTCCATCCCCATCTGTCTTTCTTCGCCTCTCTGCCTCCTTCTCTTAACCAAAAACACAGTGTCAAAATGTGCATGTGAAATTTTGGCACTATGGTTTAGAAAAAGTGGTAAAAGAAAAAAAACAGTAAATATCGTTAGTCGCGGGATCTAGGATGAAACGGGATGATGAAATTACCTAGTCCTGAAGCTAAAGTGTAGATGTAAAGGGAACTGAATGTGCACCAAGCCGACATCACAGTTGTGTGAATCTCTTTATGGGTATGTGTCCTGAATGCTCAGCTACGTGAGTTGGTCACCATCTGTTCTGTGACTCTCTCTCTATCTGTGTGTGTGTGTGTGTGTGTGTATGTGTGTGTGTGTGTGTGTGTGTGTGTGTGTGTGTGTGTGTTCGATTCCCGACGATTATGGTCACACACATCTTTCTTCTCTTTCTCAGACTCTTCCTGACTTTTTTTCATTCTCCTGGGTGGTTACCAACAGCCAGTGCATGCCGGAGTATGTGGTGTGATGTGTGTGCGGGAAAAAATGAAAAGACCAAAAATAGGGATTCACTGGCCAGAAAAATCACTTCAAATAGCTGTATGGTGTAGACCAGGCTGAATAGTGACGGTCAATTCTTCAGCCTTGCAAGCTGTTGAATGGTGCAATCCCAGCACAAGTTGCTATGGCTTGCTGTAGCATTGCTATCATCGCCGGCGGCGATGGGCGTCAAAAGGTCAAGGTCAAAGGTGTGTGTGTGTGTGTGTGTGTGTGTGTTTACGTGCATCTGTGTGTATGTGCCTCTGTGTGTTTGTACGTGTGTGTGTGTGTGCGTGCGTGTGTATGTGTGTGCATTTCTGTTTATGTGTCTTTTATGCTCAGCTACGTGAGCTGGTCACCATCTGCATCCAGGAGGACGTGGCACGACGACCGGACGTGGCCTACGTGTACGAGGTGGCGCGGCGCATGTACTCCCACCTTGCGCAGCGACGCGACGAGGAGAAACGCAGTCAGGCCGCCATGGCAGCTGCCGGTACGGCTCAATCCGGGGTTGCCCAGACTTCTGCCTCCGCTAGCTCCTCCACTGCCACCAGCGCCTGCGCTTCGGCCATGGACGAGGAGCCAACGGATGCAGAACTCGCCGCGGCAGCCCAGATGGAATCGTGAGACTCTTGACGTAGACAGCTAGTCTAGAACATAGTTACTGTGGAGCGATAGCGAATGCGTTCATGGATACATGGAAAACCTGTCGGGTCTCAAAAGAAAGATGATACAGGTGTGACGACGGAGCTGACCGTGGTGCGTATAGTGTCTATCTTGCACCCGACGTGTCCTGTAGCGAATTTTGTTATAGCTTCAGCGGAGCTATGGCGAATGTGTTCATGGATACAGGTATAAACTGTGTTGCGTCTAGATGGAAAACACGCCAGTGTGACGACTGTGCTGCTCATGTGCATCTTGCGCCCGACATGTCCTGTAGCGAATGTAGTCTTGTCTTTTGTGAGCTTCGCATGGATTGATGTGTTGTAGCGCCGTAGTGCTAATGTTGCATTGTTGTATTTGTGATTTTGTTGTTGTGTGACACTGGGACTTCTCAGCTTGTCCCGAAGCCCTACGAAGATGTTCACCCTGGCCTTTGCACGCTTGTTTCCCCATTCACTAAGTGCAGCATGCGTGCTACGCATATCTTGTACTTCACACAAGCCCAGCACTAATGACTCTAATGCTCTCAACTGCTTTTCCCCTGCCGCACGATTTTGACATGACTTGCATTGCGGATGACAAGGATTCTCATACGTTCTCTGCAAGCGACTCCGCCTTGAGTACATAATTTGAACATACGCGGCAAACATTCTTAGTTATTCTCTCTCTCGCTTTCTTGTCATACGCTTAGCTTTCTGATTGCTGCGACTGATGCATTTCAGGGTGCCATACTACATGACATTGTGTTGTTTGTCAACTTTCATTAACTTCAATATGTGGAGATGCTATTTTCTTGCAACATTCTCCTTGAGAGTGTTGCATCCTGTGACAATGAGCTATGATTGTGTTGCGGAGACCGAGTGCTGTGTGCTGTGCCGTGTGTGCTGTGCCGTGTGTGCTGTTGCTGCCTCTGCACTGTAGTCACTGAGGCTCACGGTTTGAATGGGCCTGCTGCATACTAGATGTACCATGCTTTGGCGTCGAAGATCAGAACGAGTAGGGTCTCCACTCCAGCTAGGCTAGTAGTGAAGATCTAGTCCAGCAGTCATGTTCCTGGAGTTTCCGCACCTTGGTAGATCTACACTACACTACATAACACATGTATTGTACAGTCATGCAGTATCACTGTAAAACATAATAATAATTTCGGTGATTTCAGTAGAGAAACCAGGCACCTGAATTTAGACTAAGACACTAGAGTATGCACTGTATGTTAGGCCTTGACGGATTATGCTAGCATAATTTTTCGCATAATTCCTACCAAAATCGAATAATCGCATTATTCGAGGCAAATTGCATACGAATCGAACAGGCGGATTATTCCAATTTAATTGGAATAATCCGCCTGTTCGCATCATAGTTCATACAGCTGTACATGTTCTACAAGTACAAGTACAAGTAGATGCACCAGGAAGTCGTAGGTTTACGACTCCCTTGATAACATGTCCAGTCCACTACAATCAGTGACGGTCGTAGTAGGTCGGACGGCGCGTTGACCCCGTTGAACTTTTGCTACTACAGTACAACGCCCTATACAAAAAAATTCCTCTGTTATTTTGCACAGAACCATCATAATTATACATTAGCAGCATATGTGAGCATAATGCGGCATAATATGATAACTTTTAGCATAAAAATAGCATAATTCTGCCATTTTTTCAGCAATGCGAAAAGCATAATTTCACGAAAATATTAGCATAATCCGTCAAGGCCTACTGTATGTGAAGGGAATGCTGGTCACCTATTTTTATTTCTACATTTTACCAGACAGGCAGGTCCCTGATACCGAAATTTCAATACACCTAAAATTATAATGTTTTACAGTACATCATACTACATGTACATGAAACACACACGTAGATCTATGTAGTGGTGTTCCTCAATCTTTGTTTCCAGTCTGAAGGAAAGATTTAAAAAAATGTAATGGCTTTCTCGCCTGGATATCCTTCGCCTTTTTCTAGGCTTCGGCAGCCTGTTCTTTTACAGTGCATGCACTGCCCGCCAATGTAAATGTCTACTGCTCTGTCTGGGGCTGGATTATGGATGCGATCAACAATCTAGCGAGCGTCTTGCATGCTTTCAGTTCGAATAATTATTATTTTGATACACACGATACATGCGCTTGACGGCAAGGTGTGAAATCAGGGCGGTCGAATACATTCCGAGAGCTGCAGAGTCGCTATGCAGAAAACGCTCAGCGATTGATGTGTGAGAAATGTCCTCACACTCACGCGCTATTTGCTACACATTTTTTCACACATTTCACTGGTAGATCTAAAATGTCATGCATCATGGCGTGGTATGCGGCTGCCTGGACCAATCTGGTCTGCATGATCTGGCGAGGTGTGAAACGGATTTATGGAAGGATTTTTGATGTTCTTCTTGTTCGACGGGCACATGCGGCACACTATCGATTCGTACTACACCTGGTACACGCGTCCTTCAAAACTAGCTACTAGCATGCTACAGTACAGCATTTCCTTGAGAACGGTTTTATTCACAACACCAATTGGGCCAATCGCGTGAAACCATGAAGTAAGAGTCAAAGCAAAAAGACAACCCAGTATTTCCCTACTAATATTACCAGCACAATGAAGATCTACAGAGGCCCAGCATGTTCGTCGCTGCACGTAGATCTACCCAACAATTAAAGGGGAGTCGTGGGCTTTCGCGACTCTCTGATGATCTATGTAAACCACGCGGCCATGGCCGATCTATATTCATTGTAAAGCCAATTGCTGCATGTCTACATCGTTCATTGTTTTAGATCTGAGACTAGTTTTGTTCAGGAGATCAAAAGACCTACTACGCCATGCAGCAGAGTAATCATGGTGATACACTGTACTAAAAGTATGATGGTGCGATGCGCAAGCTGTCACCTGTTGCTTGTTCCCTATCTCGCCGTGTTGTCATCGCTTCACGTTCCTTTCGCCAGGGTCATAGCCAAAGGCTGCTTGTCACACATTTTGTCGGGAGCTTCACAATTCGACAATCGGATATTGGCCTGGCATGACGGAGACATTTCCCCTAGCGCACCGTAGGTTACCCGGCATCTTGAGCAGTACACACGGTACACGTCGTCGCTCACATCAACGAAACGTCTCCGCTCCACGTGTAAGCCATTATCACCTCGCTGATCTGCCAGTACATGTACTGCATTGCGCTAGCATGCTAGCATATAGCAGAAAAGAGTACCGAGTGTGACCACTGTCGTGAAGTGACGGGGGAGTTCTGGGCCGTTTCTCTCCCCGGTCGAGCCGTTGAATCGATCGATCCCCGACACGCGCACACATGTACGCACACTGGAAATGGGACCCAGCAACTAACGTTATACTTTCTAACCTTCAGCCAGTCATCACACGAAAACTTGTTGTCCCGCGCTAGCTGTATGCTGGGGTGCTAGCTGTTCAAGGTCGGAAACTGCAGCCACAGTTCTATTCCACAAACAGTATCACACGCAGCCACAGGCCACCCAAGCGTATGATGCGAATCGATTAGGCCTCGGCCTTCTGAGTCTTGCCTGCATTTAGTGTTGCTAAGTGGGCCTCCTTGCTGCGCAGATAGAGCCCATTCATTTCTGATGATGTCGACATTAGTACCTGTCCGACTCCTTGACTTCCTGCTTGGCACTTTACCCCGGACATACCCTGGATTGGTATACAAGGTATAGTCTGAGCGGTCTGCGCTTGATTTCTATTATGCCAAGGTTAGATATCTGCGAAGGTCTTGGTCAGTACATCGTACCTCTCTAAACTAAACAGTCGCTCTCGGTAGATCTAAGTGTCAGCAGAAAAAATTCGCTTCGAGTACAGCACGTGTAAGCGCAACACTTAGCGGCAGTCAGGACTCGGGGGAATTTCTAAGGAAAACGACCTCATCTGGATGGAGTGGGCTCTCGCAGTGACTGGTCTGGCTCACTGTTCTAAAATAGGTCACTTCGGAATCACAAATGACCCACTCGTGGCCACTTGATTGCGACCTGTAACATTCTCGATTGCTGCTTCGGGATGCCGATGGGCCACCAGGTCACGTGAATCAGGTGCGTCGTCTTTGTTGTTTTTTTTACGACACGCACACGTAGTGCAGCCGGGTAGCTGGTCACATATGTGCATACGTATGTACATGCGCTGTCCGTCAGAAAACAGACGGTGCGCGTGGCGTGAGGACCATGACCAGCGATTAGATGTTTCAAGTACGCGTGTGTACCTGGTGTACTCTCCAGGGTTAGTTTTGGCACGAAGCTACCCTGTCACAGTGTGCAAATCCGATACAGAATAAAGCGAATCAGCGAAAGTTTTTCAGCCGGGAGAGTGAAAGAGTGCGTGACACACCTCTGTTCTGCTCGGTTCTCCTGGGCCCCTCACTCACGGCCTCAGAGACCTGGAGGCCCCCCATCACGACCGTGCCTTCCGTGCAGCGCCCTGGTGACTTTACTGTCTTTAGGCAACACCCGGCCGTGCGCAGGCCAGGTAGAAAGTTAGCTACTTCTGTTCTCTAAGTGTGTCAAGAAACTGATGGCGAAAGTAGACATTTGAGCAGCTGAAAAAGATGACGGTTTGCAATCTTTGCATCCGATGATTCTCTTTGACTTCAGAAGTTCAGATTCGGGGTTCATTATCACTACAATCAGTCATTGCGCTCGCGAGTCGCGACACATCACTGACGCACGGAGTCGGACTAAAGCCAGTAAAGGCGTACATCTTCGAACCCACTTGCGAAAACTATGTGCGATGCGAAGTGCATTTTGGCGTGCACATCGGGCGAGTTCTGTCATCTGCCAAGTACAATCATTCACCATGCATGCAGAAAGCAGTGCTCTACATACACAGTCATAATCATTACGTACACAGACCATCAATCAGTATCTGTGCAAATGTTGAAATGATTGCTAATGATTGCAAATGATTGCTAGCCCCGAATCTTGCATTAGCGAAGTAGAGTCTAGAGATTCAAGTGCTAGTGCCTGTAGTCTAGTACTGGGTCTGTCACTCTGTGATAGTCACGCTGCTAGTGCTGCACTGCAGTCTGCAGTCTGTCCGCACACAAACACACAGCATAGCTGCAGCGCACTGCATGCCAGGCTTTATCACAGCATCTGCTGAGCTGAGGCTCGTGACTAGACTCCAGGACGCTGGACAGGTCTCAGAGCAGAGAAATTCTGCCACTGCAGCATGAGTGAAAGAAAAATGGAACGCAGTCCAGCAATAGGCTTTTAGTCCCTAGATCTACTACTGGCATTTTTGTCCTCGTGCAGTGTTGGAGAAAACTTACTTCTGTGTTGTTTTTAGTCGCTGTTGGTCGTCCGTTCGGCCTCGACTGAGCTGTGGCCACTGTAGGGTGGTTGACGAGGGTCTTTCCAGTCCTCTAGTTTCTCGTTGGAAGGCTCCTGTGCGGAATATTTTTGGTAAGGTTTGCTGGTTTCAGGCGCGCCTAGTCTGTGGGCTCGTCGCCAGGGCTAGGACGATTCATTTGGGCTTGTCAGTGCATGATAAACAAGCCCTGTGCGTATTTGTGATACGCCGTTTGTGTGTCACGGCATTCCCGTCAGACGTTCATTCCGCGATGCGATGAGTATTGTTCGGCGTGTCTCTGCCGTGACTTTAGTGTGAGTGAACGATACAGGCTTGTAGTAATAGGCAGTATGATGCTCTAGTCTAGGACTACATTTTTTTGTAGGAGTCTGGACCTAGTGACAGCGGACTGATGCGACTGATGATACCAACACGGAGCCTGGCCGCTGCTTCTGTGATGCATCGTGCGTTCTGTGTGTCTTGCTGCCTTGCCTCTTGGGTATCCGGGTGCTTTCTTTGCAGCGGACGGAGCGAAACGAGTGGCTGCTATCTGTAGTGCAGCATCGTCAGTGAACCTGTTGGCCTAGCCCGTTGCAGTTATGTCGTCGTCGTCGCCGTCGTTCCAGGATCACCTGGAGAAGGCCATGGACAACTACCGTCAGGTGGAGAAAGAGGTGCAAAGGTGAGTGGGATGCTGGCTAGTAGTAGTATCCAGTGTGTGCAGCGCTTCGCCGTCTCGTTGAATGGAATGCGCGGTCTAAACTCAGTTGTCTGTGTACGCGTACACTGCGGCCTATGTTACACATGTCACAGTCTTGTGCTGCACGGAGTTGTGGTGGTGTCGACCATGGTTCCATGTATTCTGCTGCAGTTTCCATTGGCGAGAGCATGTTTCTGGACAAAAAATTGAGTGATCGTAATTGCTCGGCGTGTTTGTTCGCCTTCAGTTCCTGTTCTTGTACGGAGTGTTACGGCAGACGTGAGAGGCGAAATGCGTGTGGATCGATTGGGGGAACTGCGCAGTTTCCTGTGCGATCACACACTGATCCACACGAGATCTACGATGTGATGTGTAAGGAGCTCGTAGAATCACGACAACGGGCGCTGTACTATGCAACCGGACCTTTACGGGCCTTGTCCATCGAAACTACCTGTTTCAGTCAGCGGCTGTGTTCATGTGACAAGATTAGGGGAGCGGCAATCTTCCCCTAATTCTTGTCGACGATTTTTTTGTCCCGTTCATCTCAGGTTGTCATCAGAAGTTCGGAAACTGGAGGAGGAGAAGGGCGAAATGACGCGCCAGTGTGTACTGGTAAGTACAGTCAACTTTTTGTATAACGACACTCTGCGGGGGCATCAGAAAAGTGTCCTTATTCGCGAAATATCCCTATATCCGAAGTCTCATTAAATTTTAAATAATAATTATTACAGTTAGATGGGACTTTGCTCTGGGCATGGAAATTCTGTCGTTATTCGCGCATCGTCGTTATATCCGCAGTCGTTATTAGCGAACATGACCGTATTGGTTAGTAAAACGCCGAAGCTTCAGTATAGCTGAGTACTAGTGCTCTGTATATCATGCTATTCGATATAACGTACCATGTTTGGAGTCCTGAATTATGCTATCGATCACTTGACTTCTTACATGTACAGAAACTGACTTGGGCTATAAAGTACAGATTTTAACACCCCTTGGTGGTACGTGCAGGGTAGTGGATTTGTGTCGTTGCAATACTGGGTGATCGCTGGCAGTGTGTGGCTGAGAAAGGCTGCCAGTGGCCGTGTGCGATGCGATGCGCATGTAATATAGCCTGGCAGAATGTCGCTCCAGAATGCTAACCGCTTTGGCTGCCCTTCTACTTCAACAGCATTGGGAATATAGAACATTATTCTCTTGCAAGAATGTCCAGGCTGGAGTAGCGCTTCAGAACCATGACCATGCCAAACTGTAATTGCCAGGGTTGGAAGAGCGCTTCATGAAACTCCTAGAAAACGCGGAGAAAATACTGAAACCGCGGAGCTTTAGCCATAAAAACGCATGCTTTCGGCTCTACAAATATTAGGGCTGGATTTTAGACATTTCAGTAACGTTCAAACCAATTTACGTTCTTAGGATCCCAATGGTACTCTAAGTGTGGTGTTGTGTACACTGCACCTGGCATGCGATGGGCTTGACAATATCAACGATAAGACAAGTTTTCACTTGAGACGAACTAGTAAATGTGACGCCATTGGACAGATCACTTTGTGGCCACGGTGCATTAAAGTGCAGACACGAAGAGCTCTCTTGTCCATGCAAGCACATTCCACTGCACCCTTGCTTTTCATCCCAAAGGGTTTATACTCTACTGCTTGTTGTAATAATACTGATGTAACTATTAAAAAAAACAAGCGGCATACCATCATGTTACCACTGTTAGCGGGTCCGGCGTTATGTTGAGTTGTTTCACAAACCTGAAACCAGTATTAGAAATCTTTTAGAGGGGCACTGGTGCACTGTTACTCAAGGTATTGCTAGGTGTGCGGATATGCTGGTAAATTGTCAACAGGAATCACGGCCAGATGGCTGTTTGCCTAATCTCCTATGGCTGTGTAACTTGTATGACATCCAGAGTACTAGCAGAGTGCTTCGGTGTTGCTGTAGCGTTTCTTTCATCTATCGGGGGTGCACTGTCTGTGTAACAGCTGGTTTCTAAGTTGGTATTAGTGGCGTTCTGTTCGCAGTCTCGCATAACTGTGTAGGTTTACGATACTGGATACCCGGGTGGATCATTTCAGCTGTAGTGTAGGAGTTGGATGATGTGACTAGTGATCCAATGTTATGTAATGCTGAGGCTGCAACTCGGTAATATTGGTGACGGAATAGTTGATCATTTGATCGCCATCTCGGACACGAGAGGAATTTGATCGTGCGTAGTCTACATCTCCCTGTGTGCAAACACTCGTGCATGCTCCTCCCGGTGTCAAGGAAGTAGAACGGGTAATGTTGATCTCTTGGCATGCCGCGACCCGAAATACCCATTTATTATGATCGTGTGCTGTGAGCTGGAAGGATGCTGACCAGATTCTCGTGCCAGACTCTTCCGAGTTCGTAACATGTAGATTGTGCTGAGTTACACTAGCCCTGGGGCGCGGCCAGGAACAGATGCGGAATATATCCATGGTGGTCAGTTCCGTGCATTCGACCTAAAAATCTGCATGTAAGCTCCTCGGCTGATTGGGTTTTTCCGCCTTCAGACGTTTCGGAAAGTTACATGTCTCGAGTTCCGTAGTACCCAGTCGAGAATATTGTGTCTGGTCCTGGGAACATTTAATTCTAATCCTGCACAGATGGTGTTGGTACGTTCATGCAGAGCCTGGGCTAATCTCAAATGCTCGCGAAGAGGCGGGCATGCAAGGATTCATGTTTAGCGCAGTAGTCCGAGCTGCTTGGCAAGGCATCATCATTTAGAGCCGGCCGTGGGCGATGGGTATCATGTCTGCAAAATGGCGCGTGTAAATAATTCCTCCTTGCTACTACCGGCATGCTATCTCAACGGTGGGTGTGTTCTGGCGTCGAGTTCGCCATGTGCTAGCATACGCTGACAGGTGCTGCTAGGAGCCGAGGAGCTTTGACGTGTGTTCATGCTCTTAGATTGCGTGATCCCTAGGGCACTGGGGTTGTCATGGGCTGTCATCTCTCGCTGAGCTGGGCTGTGCTGTGTTGACGGATGGCATGCACTGGTCCGGGCGCCGGGTGCGGAATGCCAGCAGGATGACTTGTGCACGGGTGACATGCATAGCAGGAGCTCTGAAAAACGAGAATGTGCCACTACGCAGTGCCAGACATGACCCTGCAGCTGTTCCCCGTCGGTGCTTTTGTCAACCACACTGGGGACTTACTTCTCTATATCGGGTCTGTTTTTGTTGCGTATTGATAGCTCCGCGTGTGCGTCTGTTTGGTCGGTGCTTACATGAACGGCCAGCCGAGGAGTTATGTAACCGACCGACAGGACGGTGCCATTGAGTTGTATGTGTTTGTACACACTCGGCCCGGGGAAGGAAATCAGATCAGGTGCTCCGGTGTGCAAATGCCGGGGACCGCTGTCCGACGCCGCTCAGACATGAGAATGTATTTCCATTTAAAATTCAGATCTCGTTTCACGCTGACTGCGCATCCTCTCAATTGTTCGCAAGACAGTTCATATCAAGAGAGATACTAGGAAGGAAACCAATCTCCTTCTGGTTTCTTTCCAGCTCGCTCCATTCGTCCTGGTCTGTCCGGTTGGGAAGGAAATATGGCCCATTCGAATACCTATACATTTTGGTATTGTAATTCGACTCTGCTCAATGCGAGTTAGGGCAGTGTTCTTTTGTCCGGAAAGATCTAATCACGGATTCTTGTGCGACGAGTGTGCATGCACAATCTGACAATCAATACACTGTGAAGTTCTTGGTGAATCGTTTTAAATTCATCAAGCCGTGAAATTTGTTTAAAAATAATTCAGGGCCTGCGTCACAGAGAGTGAGTAAAGCGAACCTTTCCGTGTCCGTTGCGACGGCACCAGACACTAGCATCATAGCATCTGATATGCTTGATAGATCAACGTATGCTTCTGCTTCCTAGATAAACGTTAGCAGCAGACACCATGGGCGGTTTGAATCCTGCGGTGCTGTTGAGGGGCCACGCTGGGTATTTGGCGCGCTGCTTGTGTGGACTGCAATTCAAACAGACACATCTTCCGTTACCGTAATAATTGTCCACAATGGTCACATGATTCTTTGGCCAGCATCATGTGATATCCGGTCCATAGGTGAACCAGTATGGGTGTACTTGTAGTATGGGCCCCTGGCCTAAAGACTAATAAAAAAACCAGGCATTGGATACCTTCTTGTGATAGCATATGCTGAAAGGCTGTGCTAAGTGGTGCGGCATAAGGCTATCCGTGACACCAGCTGGGACAACAGGAACACTGGGTTGCTGCAGCAGCGTCCATAGATACTATAGTGCAACAGGATACTGTGTATGTGTGTGTGTGTGTGTGTGTATGTGTGTGTGTATGTGTGTGTGTGTGTGTGTGTGTGTGTGTGTGTGTGTGTGTGTGTGTGTGTGTGTGTGTGCATGTGTGTGTGTGTGTGTGTGTGTGTGTGTGTGTGTGTGTGTTTGTGTGTGTGTTTGTATAACTATAACATGCTGGGAGAGCTAATGTTTGGTAATACCATTCACTTACCCATAATCTCTAGCTTACAAAGTGTCTACTTACGCCTATGGGGGGAAGACTGCCACACTCCCCCCAGCCAGCTCAGTTCCCTTTGTTAGTGTGCATCGTGGCTGTGGTACCAGCTGTCTGTTTGCCGGTCCTCATCGTGGGCGACAATGCTTGCTCATTCGTAAACATCTGCTTGTTTTCCGGATGTGTGGGTATAGGGGTGCTACAAAACTGCCAGGTTATTTCCCCGTGTGATAATTTGTTCTACGCGCATCTTTGCACTCGCAAAAGCTGCACGAGATTCGTTTCTTCGCAGGTAGTGAGGCACAGCGGGAAAACTATATCCATTTCCCGCTTGCATCCTGGTTTGTTTGAGAGGTGTTGCGCATTCCAGTTTGTACGCCCAGCTTTCCGTTGTTGATGTTGGAGGAAGAGTGACCATTGAAATATTCAAACATTGGTCACTGGATTAATTTCGGAAATAATTTGTATGATCAGACTGCTCACTCGAAACATTTCCGCGACACACTCCGCTAGTATAGCATGCCATGAAAGCGAAAACACACTCGTGGGCAAGGATTATATTGTGCAGGCATATAGTCCTGCAGACAAAGCAGTTTCCTGCTCTTGTGCTTGCGTGACATCATTCAGACGCATTGTTGTGCGCATTGACTAGCCATGATGTGCGTGCGTGTTCGAAAATCGTGATGACTCAGTTTCCTCATTTGCTTTAGCGAGGAGGTCACTGGGTTTCGGTGGGCTTCTTAGGTCTGGCTGCTGCGACAAACTGTGACTGAAATGCAAGATCTTTCATCATGCCGTTAGCGGGTGTATTAGTGGCCTTCGTGAGTTCTCTTCGGGAACGGACATGATGATTTACTCTTTTTTTAGCTTTCTACTTAGTGTGGAAATGTAGTGTGTTAGGTGTAGTGGTAAAAAACCCTTTGTGCTGTACAGTACTATACCCTGGGTACTCTGACTAACACCCAGCATGCATTCCAGCTGTGCTGCTCTTTAGTCATCAATGCCTATGTGATGGGGTATATCCATTTCTTCTTCTTCTTCTACACAAACTCCCGGCCTGATGGGTTCACGCATGGGCTTGCTCTCTTGTGTTAGAATGTTGCCCATGGGCTACTTAGCCCTCAACTCATTAGTGTCTGTTTTGTCTGAAATCTTTGTTGGGAGAGTTTCGCCACTTGAAACAGTGTCTCTCGCCCACAATAAAAGCACTTTTAAATCCCTTCCATCAATGGTTCTCCTTGAGTTTTCAGTCACCCCGTAAAGGGAATATGTACATGTGAGAGGTAGCAATGGTCTAAGTAGGAGTGTTTCACAGTGCAATAAAGCCTGGTGTAAGCAACCTCTGGTTATAGCGACCACCTGCTCTTAATAACAGCCATATTCCATGCACGGGACAGTTTTACACTGAGACTGTGGGACCTGGTTCGAAAGACCACCTGGCTTTAACGACCGCTTTTGCTTGCTCCGTGGGGTGGTCGCTTAAACCACGTTTTACAGTACACTCCAATTAATCTCTCTAATCCCGACCTTGGAGTTAGGCACGTGCACCTGAATCTACTGGGTACCCTTCAAACCCCCCCCCCCCCCCCCCCTGCGTTTTAGTCCTCCGGTCCTGGAGCTGATCTAAACTTTCTGATCGTGGCATAATCGTTCCGGGCAATGTTTGTGTGTAGAACGAGTAGTGAGTGGTGGACTGGGTTCGAGATTTGAAAGAAAAAAAACACATTCATCCAAGCTCCACTCCCTCAACTTGTGAACATGTACATGCCATTCAAGCTCATTTAAACTTATTTGCATGTGTGTGTTTGTGTGTACGTACGTTCGTGCGTGCGTGCGTGTGTGTGTGTCCATGTGTGTTTGTACATGCATATGCACTGCTTCTGGCTGCGTGTCTTGCTGTATCTGTGTGTACAGTATGCGGAAATGCTCAATGCACTGAACCTGGAGAAGGCCACACATGTAAGTTTACCGAATGCACTGCGGGTGAAAAGTGAGTTTCTTGACTGATGTTAGCTCCCCAGTGAAACTGCTCTCATAAATGGCCTCATATGTCATGGGTCACCAGGTTGTCTTGAGCTGTTGTAAGCTTGATCTCTGGTCAGCTTTCTGTTCAAATTGGGGTTAGTTCTCATCAGCTCAGGTTGGAGCCACACGCCGGAAAATTTGATTTGATTTCGATTTATGATGAAGAAAGGAAAAGGACAAAATGTTACTTGTACGAGTTATGACAAACTGTCCACCAACGTAACAGTTTGTCATAACTCGTAACATTTTGTCCTTTTCCTGTCTTCATCATAACTATATTGGCTCACCATCCGAGTTCAACTTTGCACAAATTTTCGGTGTACCTTTATTTCGGTACTTTCGGTGCGTCTGTTTCATACCTAAAATTTCAATACACCGAACAAACACTAACGCACCTAATCCAATAGGGGACTGCTTCTCCGTACCTAAAATGTCTGTTTGCCTAACCTGGCCTTTTGCCCTCATACCGAAAATATTGGGCACCTACAATTTCTGAAATTAGACTATTCCCATCAGCTCAAGGGGTCAGAGTTAGAGTGTGAGAAACACAGTGTTGCCTGGCCTATGGTTTGATCTCCCTGTGGTTCGAAAAGAAGAGCAATTACCAGGTGTCCTGTACTTGTGAATGAGTTCTCAGAGCAGAGTATGGTCCAGGTCTTGAACTTGCTCAGGAGGCCATGGAAGATGTATAGTTCACTATTGTCTCGTAATAATAATTGAAGAGCTGTAAAATGTTGAATGCTTGGAGTTGCAAAGTGCATTGTAAAACCAGGACCTAGATCTTCTGCCTGAGGCTGTACTACTGGCTGGATACTACTGTCAATAGTTTGATGGGCTTGAGGTCTTACAGTGCATGGTCAATTGTATGTCAAATTGTGTACCTGTGTCAGCAACCATAGAAGAAATCATACTGCCTTTGTCTGCCTCATGTGTCAGCTGACAGTGACTAGTGAGAACAACACTTCCACAGTGTATGTGCATGTGTGTGTGTGGGATGTATATGTAGGTCATGTGACCCTGGGTCTAACAGGTACATGTATAGCCCAGCACACGGCCTCCTTGGTTAGTAACACTGCTGTGCTGCAGGTCCTGTGCTGGTTGAATAGTTTTACAAAGTGCCACTTGGGGGCTGTGGCATTGCTGAGGGATTGCCGGGTCCTTGAAAATGCGTGATCAGCTCACTCACCTGGCTTTCAGGGCTGAACGCCCTGTGCAGTGGGAATGCTAGTGCCCTCTTCTGCCTGTGAGCCTCTCCTTGTATTGTTCTTGATTGCGTGCACTTGACGTTCTAGTGGCGCTGCTTAAGGGCACTACTCCTGGGAGTTATTTGTAGAAGAGGGCTTAAGCTTGGCTTGGAGTGTTTCAGGAGGTGTTGGATGAGTTTCTTGTGAAGTGTGTCTACTTATCGCACTTGGCAGGGTGGTCAGGCTTTCTGACAGCACTACTAATTTTTTTTAGTCTAGAGACTAGAGACTAGCCTGTGTGTATGTGTGTTTATGTGACCTCGGCTCAAGTAGGCATGTAGGTGTGTGGAGATGTGCTGGAGCGCCCTCCCAAGAGCCACACTCCATTATGCCACTTTAGTCACTTGCAACGGATGCAGTGTTTGGCACAGAGATTCCAGTCTGGTTCTCCAGTGCACTGGTGTTATATGTTAGTATTGATGTTAGTAGTGGCCAGAGTGTTGTTGTGGATGGGTGCAAGGGCCGGACTTGGAGCTTGAGGCTCTGTGCACCTCACAACTAACTTTAGGACTTTGGACTGTTGGCATTGCACAGTATGGTTGTCGAAGCAGCTGTAGGGCATGCAACAGTTCATTGTGCTGACAGTGGAGTGCGTGCCCTGAACATCAGGATGGTTGTTGGTGCTCAACCCTGGTGAGACTTTCAGGGCGGTGGCTACCCCATGCCATGGTAGTCTGTGTTGACTTCACTGGTGTGCTGTGGGACATCCCTCCTTTGCTGACAAAATCTGTACTGGTAAATTGTGTACTCCATGATTTATTCAAAGCCCCATGACATCAGTGAATAATGGCAAGACAGTACAAGAGAATAGCTAAACGGAGAACAGTTGTGAATGGCTGTGCTGGCTTAGATAGCATAAGTACTGTAAGACCAATTAAAGTTAACCATCTCCGGATTTTCGTGGGTTAGCGAGGTGAAATTCTAACGAATTCTGTCTCAAAATCGGAACATGTACATATCGTTTTGCACATAACGACTTCAAATGTTAACGATTCTTTCAAATTCGTTAACTCGTTAGAATTAAATGTTCGTTAACACTACTGGTCTTCCAGTAGTAGGCTGTGGTGTAGGATGAGAAGGAAGCCCCTTGCCATGATATCCCATACGTTATCATAATATGGGCGCTCGATTTCGTGAAGCACAACCTGTGCTGTTGTGTTATGCGAGTCCACGAGGACAGAAAACTGTACTTTCCTCGGATTGAGTACACTTCTTGTGGTGTGGTTGAAGATAAGCAAGTTTCCTTGTGTTCGTTCCGAGTGGCGGAACACTAGATTCATCTTATCGTCAATACTAACTACTCCTAGCGGTATTATATCTGAAGTACAGTGGGAGTACTATCATGTTTTTCTTCTTCTTTCTCTTATCGCAAAGTGTACGCAATGCTGCCCTCGACCAGGTGTGTGACGGAGAAGTGCCCACCTGCAAGCCGTCCGGGCAAATATGTTAACAGGTGATGGCTCTCTGTCAGAGTTGGGTTTCATCCCTACCCCAGGCGCATGCCATCAACACGTTTTATGACAGCAGGTGGCAATGTAGCGAGCGGATAATGCTAATTTTCTGCTCGAAAAGTCCATACATCTTCGCAACACTCCAAACGCTCTGGAAAAGAAACGTGAGGAATTATTCTAGACCCGGAGAACTACAAACCGTCTTACTTCAGCGTGTGCGGCTCTGCATAGCGCATTGTCATGGTGGTAGGATTAGGCAAAGCACCGTTTATGAGTGTCTGTCACGGCTGCTCACACACAAGTGCCAGTTGCGGTGAGGACAAAGTCTGTCCGCAAGCCTTGCTGCGGTCGATTTTTCAAATAACTATGTGGTTCTATAGTAATAGTAGGTGTGAATTAATGAGCCGAATTTATTCTATGTAAGCTGGCCAGGGGTGAGCAATGCTGTGTATGATATCCAGGCTGTTGACCTGACTACAGGATGTCCAGTGTCTATTTGTGCTAGGTTGTAGGCTAGCACGTACTGAGCGACTTTCTACTTGACTGGGGACAGTCAGTGTGTAGCCATGCCCAGCAAACGTATACCTGCATGTGTGCATGTGTGTGCTTTGTTTGGGGGGGGGGGGGGGTAGCATATGTAAATTTTTTATCATTTGAGCATTCTGAAAGGAAGGCCGCGGGGGGGGGGGGGGGGGGGGGGGGGGCACTTTTCTGAGCCTAAGTCCTAATGTAGTGGGGTTGCCATGCCAGCTGTTGAATATTTGAAGTGTTGCAGTGGCACAGCACTGGTGGGCCGGTGCTGGCTAAGTGCGTGTTTACATTCCTGCTGGCAGTGAGCACTGGCATGCTAGAGATGTTCTCCCAACCTGGATGACACGGCTAATTAGAAGATTGAGTACATCTTCATCAAGATGCTTGCTCAATGACTTGCCTGTATTGTGCCTTTGCTTGGTGCCTTTGCTTGGCCGCCCCTAGCTTGGCCAGCATGCATTCTTGGCATTCATAGGTTAGAAGTGAGGTGAATGGTGCCTGCTCAAGTGCTGCCCCTTCCCAAACTCAAGCACCCACTTGACGGCCTGGCTGTGTCACTTGAGCAACCACAGGTGATTTCATCTGGGGGGTGGATTGCATTAGCCGGATCACATACCTGCAACATGTGTATTAAGCTATTGATGTTGATGGTGCTGCTCTGGCTAATGATACAGGGTAACAGCTTGAATGATTTGAGATTCTTCAGTAAAGGACACAGGAGGCTGGTCTCCTGATGCGATCCTGAGGAAGTGGCCGATTAGGGCGCCAAGTGCAGCCAAGTGCAGCGGGACTGGAAATAGAAAATGGACGCTGGTCATGGTCGCACCTTCCTTTGATCATTGATGGTGTATGTAGTGGGGGTATGAATGAGTGTGTACTGCGTACTGCGTACTGTGACCTGTGCATGAATGACTGCATGTACTGGTGATGGTGGTGTTGTTGTAGTGCTAAAACAGGTGCTGGTTGCTTAGCAGGTTGCCTGGTGACACCTCGTTTATTTGAATGGAATACTAGTACTTGAAATGACTGGTGACACTTCGAATGAAAGGAATAGTTCATCAGGGCGTTGAACAATTACACGGCTGCGATAATGGGTATTGATGGATGGCACTATTTCCAGTCTTGTCGCACTGGCTGGGTGATGCTGATGAGGGTGTTTTTAGCTGATACATTGTATGTGACATACATGTAGCTTGATGAGCTCAGATGTGAAGTTAGTGGGCTGGCCTTGGGGTCCTTGGTCCTTGGAGTGTATTGCTTGGCTCTGTTGTCCTGGACACAGACAACTCTCTGGGGTAAATCGTATCTTGATTGTGGTTCATTAAAGGAACCCGGAGGGGGGGGGGGGGGGGGGTCAAACACAAGAAATTACTATTTTCCGTTCTAGATGCGGAGGATCCTCATATTGGCAGTATCCAGGATCAACCCTGCAGCAGTATTCCTGAACCATGGGTGCTAGGCGTAGAAGGCTGTTCATCTGTGGAATTTCTACACAGTGACCAAAGCCAATCAATCTTGATTGCTCTCCGTGTAAAATTGCTGAGTAGGCAATTAGGATGTGTAACTGCACATTGGTATATTACGTGTTGTAAGACCCTGCTGATGGCTATGTTGTATGGTGGTATTCAACGGGCCCCCACCTTTGAGGAACATCATTTCACTTCCCCAAATGTGGGCTGCCGTTTAATTTGTTCCGACTTGCGAGTGG